CTCCCCGCCCCTCCCTGACCCACGGCCTGGCCCCTGGAGCCCGGAGGCCTCCGCTGTAGAAGGGCATGCCTCGCCTGCAGCAGGCATGTGAGCAAGGGTCACGAGCTGATGGACGTAATGCCTGGAAAAGGCCTGGCACACAGTTGGTGCTCAAAAGCGTGTTAAAGCAAAAGAGCCCTGGTGGGCCTCATCATAGAAAGAGGTTCCATATCCCTCCCCACAGGGTGTAAATGGTACCAAAGAACAGCTTGTGCGTTTTATAAAACCTGGGTAGATCCTGAGGTATCCAAGTGAATGTTGTCAGAGTTTGGGTATATGACCAAAAGAGCCTCAGTTGCTGTTAAAATTTGGGGTTGTCTTGGTCTCATTAATCAGGAAGTGTCTAATTAGGTAACTGAAGAAGGGTGAGGCATGATTTACTTGAATGTGATTAGATATAACATTCTGATATGAAAGGAAATGCAAGAGGCTTTTTTTTTAAATTGCTTTCATGATTTGGCAGGTAATTATGATAATTCCTGGGATTTTCACAGACTTAAAAGCTTTTTCACAGCCACATTATTTTTGGAGATCTTCTTCCCCGATGCTCCAGCTGGAGTGGATTGCTCAGCCTCCTGAAGCTCCCAAGACATCCTCTTCCAGAGCCTAACTTGGATGTCACTTCTTGATGATGCTTCCTCCATCCCATACGCCAGGTGTACCAGGCAGGTGCCCTCTGTAGGCCACCACGCTGGGTGACTGCTTATGGCTGCCTGAGTGTTTTCTTGAGGAGGGAGTGCAGTGATTGACTATTGATGTCTGCCAAGCGCCAGGCAGTGTGTGAGAGTAGCTGAACCTGATACATTTCCTCCATTCCTTGTGGTTGGGCATTTAGGTAGGTTCTTGCAATTTGGAACTAAATTTAAACTTTGAACATGTGTTCTGGTAGAGGGCAGGATTACTCCCCAGCAGAGATTTGCCAAGTCACAGGTGAGTGTTTTTAAAAGTGGGATAGATATTGTGAAATAGCCTGTGACTTAAGCTTCTTAAATCTTTCTATTCTCTTCTCCACAGCCTAAAGGACAAAACCCAAATGGTAACTGATAAGCATTATACCTTATTAACTCATGAGTTTTGCCCCTTCCAGTCACACCTCAGGAACCACATCTCTGCCAACCTGATGTTCTCCTGGACCTTTCAGAATCAAGGTTCCACTCCCCAGTCATCTGTCCCAGGTTGGGCTCTATTGGAAGCTGTATCAGCTGTGGCTCCTGTATCTCCACTCGGCATTTGCTTTTGCTTTGTCACTGTCATTAGTGTTGTCAAATGGCGCCTTTTCCTTAACCATCTTTGAATTAATTTTCAAGGAGATACACTGCTGAGAATAGAAATAAATATGGCAGACTCTCAGAGTGGCTCTGAACATTACTGGCAGGAATACAGTGAGTGCCTGGCTGGGATTTAGGGCATGGATGGGCCATGTGAGGCTGCCTGGCACATGCTAAGGCCAGTGAGAGAAGTGACTCCTGAATGTGATCTCTGGGGGAGGCCTTCCCAGACACCTGATCTTCCTTCCAAGTCTTCCTCTCTTCCTGAGCTCTAACCAAATCTGACCTTTCAGATGTGAACCTTATGAGTTTGTCCCCAACACCTAGAACAATGCCTGGCAGATGGTTAATAATTCTGTTGGTGACATTCCTGCTCTGGGGGACAGTGTCTTTCCATAGCTTTCTGAGCTCCTTGATGTAGTACATGTGACCCTTTCTGGCTTCTGGGAACCTACCTGTCCTCCCCCTCCTTCACGTCCCTTTTATTTGATCACCCATCTTTATAAAACTATCCCTTAGGCACGGAGTGTATGCCATGCCCAGACACGGAGACGATTGCACTAAGGGCAGTAGCTTGTTGATCAGCACAGCAGCTCAGTGAAGTGAATGTGGGCTTTACTCCCCATCCGGTAGGTATATGGCCCCAGGCTCCTAGAGGTTAATGACTTGCACTGGAGCATACTGTGAGTGAGTGAGCAAGCACAGGACTGTTTTGCACCAGAATATCAGCTGTTAACCACCTCTCTCAATTGCCTCTCTGCCAACCTCTAGGCCTTTGCACCTGTGGTTTCCTCTGCTGGATGTGCCATTCTCTTCTTGGTCTACAAGGTGACTTCCTAGAGCTCAGCATGTTTGTGGGATGTGGAATACCTGTGGCGCTCAGTGTTGTGAGACACCAAGTGGGAGAGGGGGCAGGAGATGGGGTTAGAGAGGCTGGTGCCAGATCTTGAAGGCATTCGAATTTTATCCTTAGGGCAGAGGAAAAGACTGAAGGTTTTACAGCAGGTGACAATATCAGATGTTGCTTTGGGAAGATCACTCTGCCTGCTTGGAGGAAGGGTACCTGTTCTCTCTCTATCCTGTTCCCTGCGATTCTCTGTGGCTATTGAAAATAAGAATGAAGTTCCGATGAGAACTGCTAAGTGCCCTCAGAGCCAAATAGAAATTTCAGCACGCAGTGGTTGCGTAGCCTGCTTTTATTTTTATGATATTGGGAACAATTTGTGATCTCAGAGTCCCCTTATGAGGCTCTCTCTGAGTCTAGAATTCATTTCCCCTTATAGCAGAGTTTGGCAAGAGTTATTTGAGCAACAGTAAGCTCAGAGTAGTTTATGTAAGATGAAAGCTGTTTATATCAACCGCTGTATGTAGGGATATGTAATATAGAAACTCAGAGTTTCAGAGCCTAGTAACAATGAACACTGCAGTGTAATGGCTGCTAGAAATTATTTCATCAAATGTTGTCTCCTCATTTCCATCAGAATTTTTTCCCCCATTCCCTAGAGAAATGAAAGCGTTGTCTGGCATGGCCAAGTCACTTTTCTGGCTGCAAAAAAGGAACCAGGATTTTGACAGCTCATGATAAACACCATTTGAAGCTGGAGTGTTTTGATGTTTTATGCATTTATGGAAAATTGTTTTAACACTCTAGCTCCTGCTGCAAAACAAAACAAAAACAAAGCAAAACCCTACTTAGATTTCAAAATGACAGTGACATTTATTTCCAACTTGCATTTTGTGGGGGCACATTCGCAGGTATTTAGTAATATTGGCAATTGTGTGTTTCCTCCTGACGGGGTAGTGAATGGATCCCCAGCCCCAAGAAAGTTCATGGAAGGTTTATGTGATTGCCGTGTGGAGGAGCCACACAGGCAGCATTAGTGGTACTATATGTGTTTGTGAAAGGCCAAAAGAAGATCATCTTGAGGTTATTTTTTTAATACAAAAGGAATAAGGCAACTTGGAAATAGTAATTTTAGGTCTATACAAAAAAAAAAAAACTGGTTGGAAAGCTCAGTGACTTATTTTCCCTTTGTTAATTGCATGGTTCTTTCAGTGTCTTCTGTGCCATTTTCATGTAGCATTTCCTGCCAGGTTTGGAAGAGGTGGGCAGAGGGACAGAGGGGCTGCCTTTCCCAGCAAGGGATCCACCGGGCAAGTTAATGGCAGCACCAGGATTATTATGGGGCACCCGAGAAATTTCACATTGATGGCACCATGGCTCCCTTTAGTTTCAGGTGAAAAATATTAAGTTTTTTAAAGCACCTGGGTCATTATTCTTGCTGATACATGGAACTGTGCTCATTATTAGGAAACTGAAAAGTAAGGGATAAGTAGAAAGAATGGAAACACACCCCTTGACTAATGTTAATATCTTGGTATGTTTCCTCCTGTGCCTTTTACCTTTTCTCTAACAACATATCAAGAAAGAAAAGAGAGCCCCCCTCCCCACCTCGAGTCCTCCCAAGGCATCAAGACTTAGTTAGCGGTCCTTTTTTTCCCACAAAACTTCTCCCTATGTCCTTTCTTTAATCTGACAGTATGTTTTATATTTCATATAAAATACTTACAAATGGTATGGTATTATTTATGTATTATATAGAATATAAAAAGTTCCTGGCTGAAGTCTGGGTACAGGAGAAGCGATCACTTGGGAAAGGTGGGGATGCTGAGGGTCCGCTCAGCCTCGGCATTGTCAGGGGCTTCTCTTTAAGATGCTTGTGAGTTTCTTCCTTCAGGGTTGCTGAAAAACATGGCAAGATTACACCTCACATTTCAGATGTTTAGGTAAATTGTAGTTGAATTTGATTTTACGCCTCAACAAGGTAGCCCTTCTAATCAGAGAACTTACTATATAGTTTGACCGTGCAGGATATCTCTGTGCTTTCTGTAAGTTACAGCTGGAAAGATCTGTTGTCTATTCTGTATATCTATCATAGGCTACTTCTGTTTTTATTTATGTGGGATCAGCCAAGAGCATTAAATTAATATGGGAAAATTCAAGGGCTCATGGCAGGCCTGAGTGGGTCGCATACAGACACGGTGGAGTGATAGGCTGTGGCATGTGGCCCAGTGGTCAAGAGCCAGGGCTCTGGAGTCAGTCCTTCATGAGCTATATGACCTTGAGCCAACTCCTTCAATTCTGTGACATTGTTTCTCTTTCTGTAAGGCGGGGGGAGCTAGTGTAATGAAGAGCCAGGAGTGCATGGAAAGCATTTTCCCAACATCGATAGGCAGTGACTAATGACTTTTGCTGCTGTCATTGTATCTGTCACCATCGCTGTTCTCAACAAGGCTCTGGTTCTATTTTCTTGGTTTTTAGTATCAAGGCCTGATGAACAGAGGTGGTCAGTTTTTCTAACTGTGCCGTTAGCAGGGAAATTCTTGGCCAGCACAACTCAGATGAGGAAGAAAGCCTTTGGTAAAAAAGCATCCATTAATTAAGAAGAACAACCTAAGGTCCAAAATGACCTGATACAGTCATATTCTTACTGTAAACTGAGGACTGTTGATTCTGTAGTGTTAAAATCAGCCAAGTCAAATGTGTTTTAAACTTACAGGTGGATTTGCGTGGCTCATAGGTCTGCAGTCCAGACAACCTCCCGATGCCTTCCTGATGAGCAGCGGGCCCCGGGCTCTTCGTGGGGGAGGGTCTGTCCTCTGAGCCTCACTGTTTGGTGCTTGTTGTTCCAGGTAGCAGAGATGCACGGCGAGCTGATTGAGTTCAACGAGCGCCTGCACAGGGCCCTGGTGGCCAAGGAAGCCCTCGTGTCCCAGATGAGGCAGGAGCTCATTGACCTCCGGGGGCCGGTGAGTACTCCCACCTGGCAAGGTCCAGCTTGCCGTTCTGTGCCTGCTCCCTCTATCTGTCCACCCCTCTTCTGCTGTCCACAACCCCACTATTCAGTTTGTTCACCATTAGTAATGTCAAGGCTGTAGGAAAGTACAGAGACTAAAAGTGTGAGCATTCATGTACCCACCATGCAGATTTCATGTACCTTAACCTTTGTCACACTTGGGTGGGAGAGGGTAGGATAACCAAAAGACACAAACTCCATGGATGTCCCCTTTGCAACACTGCATGCCACCCTACCCCATAACTGATATTCTGGTACTGGCATATTGCCTTCCCCTCCCTGGTTTTATTCTTGACTGCACAGATCCGTTTTCATGAGCAATAAACAGTCGGGGTTCCCTGTCAACTTTTATCTGCTATGGTGTTACCTGTACATCTCTCTCTGCTCCCTGTTTTTGTTTTTTAATTCAGTATTGCAGTGCGAGGGCTAGCCCATATAAATCCAAAAAAGGTTTTAAAACTGTGGTCCTCCCTGATACTATGGGCCATTAATTCTTTGTTGTGGGGACTGCTGTCCATCTAGGATGCTGAGCAGCATCTCTGATTCCTCCCCACCTCAGGCCAGGAGCACCCCACCCAGTCATGGGAACCAAAATGCCTCCAGATGTTGCCAGATGTCCCCTGGGTGGGGGGTGGGGAGTGGGTGGAGGGCACAGTCTCCCCTGTTTGAGAACTCCTGACCTAGTTCATTCACTTTCCTGACTTTCTAGTTCTCTATTGAATTCTTTTTAATACAGTCACACGTTCATGGACACTTAGGTTGTTACAAACCTAAGTTTGTAACAATACTTTGCTGTTACAAACCATGGTGCCAAGAGCATCTTGTTCCTTTGTACACACTTAAAATGGTGTTTTTCTCTTACAATAGTTTTATTTTGTCGAATGTTAAATGCCTAAAGGCAGGCAGATGAGCCTCATGCTTATTATGTGTTCACTGTCAGGGTGAACTATTTTCAATCCAGGTGAATCTTGTTTGAAGTTACCCACACCCACTTCTCCATTCTATATAATTTTGAACCAAATACTGGATATCATTTCATCTGTAGACATTTCTGTGTGTATCTTTACAAAATCAGAAATAAGTAGGATGACATTGTCACCCCTCCTTTACCACTAATTCCTTTATACCATCAAATATCAGTGCTGAACTTTCTCATTTTTCCTCATAATTTTTTATAGTTTTTTTTTGAATCAGGATCCACATGAGATCCTTGTGTTGCAATTAGTTATGTCTTTTATGTTTCTTTTTTAAAAAGTTGTTTTAAATTATAGTAAAATATACATAAAGTTTACCATTTTAGCCACTTTTAAGTGTGCAGTTCTGTGGTATCAAATACATTCACAGTGTTATGCAGCCATCCCCGCTATCCATCTTCTGAACCTTTTCATCTTCCCCAACTGAAATTCTGTCCCCAATTAACACTAACCCCCATCCCCCAGCCCCACCCCTGGAAACCACCACTATACTTTCCATCTCTGAATTAACTACTCTCCTATGTTTATTTTCATCTATAGATCGCTCCTTCATTTCTCTTTCTTATGATGTATTTATTGAAGACCCCAGGTCATTTTACCACCTTAAATTTGCTGACTGCATCTCTGCAGTGCTATTTCACATGCTCCTCTGTTCCCTGTGTTTTCTTAAATTAGCCTTTGGATGTAGGGGCTTGGATATAGCTTTAATTTTGCGTATAACACAACTCTGTTGAGGTGGTATTTTGTGTAAGGAAATAGAGTCTGCTTTGTCTCTCCTTTTGTGATCTTAGTAGCGATTTATTATTTCCTATATCCATTCCATAAATGTTTCCTTCAGGTCAAAGCTGAAAGTGTGAACTTACTGCATTGTAGGGCATAGTAAATAAACTACTGAGTTTTGATATACTGTAGTAAAAATACCTATTTACAATCTGTCAGTGTGCAAGAGTTCCTGCCAACACTTCTATATCCCTACCGAGACTTCCAGGAGTGAGGTGTTTTAACCTGGCTTTCTCTGATCACAAGTGAGGCAAACTGTCTTTTCATATGTTGTTGCCATTTTGGATTCCACTTCTGTGACTGACTTGTTTCTCATAGCCTTTGCCCATTTTTGATTGGATTGTGTTTGTTTTTCTTACTGATCTGTAGCAGTTCTTTATAGATATTTTTTTAGTTATATGTGTTGCTAAATACTCTCTTCCAGCCTATAACTTAATCACTCACTTTTAATAAAAGTAGAAAAATTCAAACATGTAAAAGCAGAGAGAACCATTTAATGAAACCCATTACTCAGCTTTAACAACAATCAACTCAGTGCCGTTTTTCCTTTATTCATACTCAATTCAGTTCTTTTCCAACTCAGATTATTTGGATGCATATCCAAGCCATGATATTTTTCAGTCATGAAATTTCAATACTTATCACTAAAAGATACAGTACCATTATCATGCCTAAAAAATTAACAGTAGTTCCTTAATATCAAATGCCCAGAGTTCAATTTTTTCCAGTTACCTCCATTTTTTTTTCCAATTTATTTGCTGTAATCAGGGCCCTAATAAAGTACATACAGTGCAATTGTCTCTTAAGTAATTTTTAATCTGTATATTCCGTCCTCTGTGTTTTTATCCCCCACCCTTTGCCTTTTTGTTGTTACTGTTGAAGCAACTTGGCCCTTTGAGCTGTAGATTTCCTAGTTAGGGTTTTGTTGATTGCAACCCTGTGGTGATCCTTACCATGTTCTTCTGTCCTTACATTTCCTTTCAATTGGTCATTAGTTCTGGAGTTCCATTGAGTTTTAGGTTTGATCTTTTAACACAACAGCTTCATAGGTATGTACCTCCCTGAGGAGGCACATGGGCACTGGTCTGGGAAAGCACTGTTGGAGGTGTCAGTTCACTCCGGATCAAGGAGTGGTCTCATTCCTTAGGAGAGGTTCAACTAAACCCTGTAGGAGTCCTTGTGTGTCCTTTATGTTAGAGGAAAGATAGGTGACTACTGTCACTGCAGATGCATTTTCAGAGAGCCTCCTCAGTGTATTATTCTCCTTGTGAGTGATAAAAAAAATAAACCAGTTAGCATAAATCCGTAATTGTGATTTTCATAGCTAACATTTAGTGAGCAATTGATGTCTGCCAAAAACTTAGGTAAATGCTTTCAAAACATTAGTACTTCATTTAATCCTCACTGAGCCCAGCAGAAATGGCTATTATGACCCCAAGTGCCAGAAGAGGAAGCTAAGGCTTAGAAATGAGGTAAATTCAGCCAGTTTCACATGAGAGAAGTCTATCTGCCTTAAAAGACTGGACTTTTCCTTAAACAATTGAAATTCTGGACTCCTAACAAATCTGTTATACCCATGCTAAAAAGTCAAGTAGTATAAAGAGGTATGTGTGCAGTGAAAACAAATCTCCCTCCTGTCCCTGTCCCTGTAACTTTCCAACCTAGAGGCAATAACTGGACCAGTCTTGGGTTTATCTTTCCAGAGATGAGCAATGCCTGAGGAAGAAGCTACATGCACACCCTATGTGATTTAATAACTAGTAGCCTGCTGTATTCACTGTCCTGTGTATTTTTCCCCTTCCCCCAATTAACAGTGTGCTTTAGGAATCTGTTTGCGTGTAGATCTGCATCATTTTTTTAAATAACTGTATTATATTCTCTTGAACTGATAATACCATACTTTATTTAGGCAGGTCCCTATTGATGGATATTGAGTTGTTTCCCATTTTTATTTTTACAACAACGTTGGCATAACATTCTTGTGAAATACTACATTTGGTTAGAAGGTTGTCTGGCAGCTCGTGGAACTCAGCTTAGCTTGATGAAGCCCAGACATCTTGCCTTGCACGATTTCCAGGGAGGGATCTGTCTCCTTCTGTCTTCCTCCCCCCGTTGTAGGAAGCACCTTCTGAGGACCAAAATCTGAGGACATGATTTATCAAGTTCCCGCCATGTATCAGGTGCACATTAGGTCTTTACTTTCATTCTCTCATTTAATTTTGAAGATAAGCCTGTTACTCGAATGGGAGTGTTACCGTGTTTTATAAACATGGCAGCTGAGGTACAGGAGGGTTTCCACCCTGCTGGCCTTCTCATTGTGCCCCACCAACAGTGCTGGGCCTCCAGCCTGCTGGCTTGCTTCTGCTCTGTGTCCCTTCCTCCCGCTGGCCCTCCGACCCCCTGACCCCAGGCCCTGTGCTCCTCCATTCCCTCTGCCTGCAGACATGCTCTGGGCTCAGGTAACTCACCCCTCAATATCAAGTCATTGCTTCCCCAGGAAACTTCCTTGATGCTCATGATATCCTGTGTGTCTCTGCCTTCTTCTCTTAGTGTAATTCACATCTGTCACTGGTGGGTGCTGTCTTCCCTCTCTGTGAGAGCAGGCTCCCCGTCTGATGCAGGCCCCCCTTTGCTCCCCGTACCATGCTCCCTTTTGCTTCAAGTCTGAATGCTCTTCAGGGTAATGGCATCCATTCACACAGAAGCTCTAATTGTCATGAGATCCTTCCTCCTGGCAGGTTATGGCCAGAGGAAGGAGAGGGAAGAGCAGGTCTGCAGGCCATTGGGAAGAACATTCAGCAGTGACTCCCAGGGAACCCCTTAGCCTTGTCATTCCTGCCTCAGGCCCACTCTGGTCATCACCCCAGAGTCAGACAGCCAGGGCACACGGGAGGGGGTAGTTTCAAGCTCAGGTTCAGTTCTGGAGCCTTCCTCCCATTCACGGTGAGGGCTGTCTGCTATGGGAATCTCAGCCTGTCCGTCCTCTGTCTGCACTTGGCCTGGCTCTCTGCCCACCCTGCCTTAGACTTCCTCCCAGACCACAAGACTATATTTGAGCACCTGAGGGAAGGACCAATCGTCTTTATGTGGAAACCCCGGTTTGCTCTTCAGCCGCATGGGGAGTAACATGCAGCATTGCACTGGGCAGCCTGAGGAGATGCTGCTGGTTTAATAGTCCCACCGTGCACGTGGTCTGGGC